ATTGAGAGTTTTTGTACTTATATCCATCAAGGATCTTGGTCTACAGTTTTTTTTTTTTTTTTTGTCTTCTTCCTGTTCCCATCTGTTGTTGACACCATTGATGATGCTGGCTTTATTGAAAGCATTTGGTAACTTTTCCTTTTTATTTTATAGAAGAGCTTGAGGACCCTTAGTGTTAAAGAGTCTCTTAAAGGCTTGGTAAAATTTGTCACTGAATGCATCTGGACCTGGAGTTTTCATTGTTGGAAATTTAAAAAAATTTTTTTAAATTATTGCTTCTTTAATCTCAGTGAATATTATGGATCTGTTTAAGTTGTCTATACTTTATTTAATTTTCATAGATCATCTTTATTTAGTAATTTATCCATTTCTTCTAAATTTTCTAGTTCCTTGGAATTTGAATTTCAAAGTACTCCTTAATGATAAGCAGTATTTTATTGATACATTTAGTCATTTATTCATTTTCATCTGTAATCTTGATAGTTTGTATCATCTCTCATTTTCCCCATTTGTTTATTTGTGTGTGTGTGTACCCACATTGGGTGCCATTGTGGAGGCCAGAGGACAACTTACAGGAGCACATTCTCTCTTTTCATTATTTGATTTCTGAGGGTCAAGCTCAAGTTGTCAGGATTGGAAGCAAGCACCTTTACTTGCTGAGCCATCCTGCTAGCTCATAGCATTTTCTTTTGGTTAATTTGGATGAGAATTTGTCAATATCATTTATTTTTTCAAAGAACCTATTTTTTAAGTTTCTTTTAAATTTTATTTAACTTGTTTATTATGTCATGATCTTTATTATTCCCTGCCACCTATTGCTTTTTAAAGTTTATATTGTTCTTGATTTTCAGGGACATTGAGGTTTAGTTATTTCAGACATTTTAAATTGTTTTATGTAAACATTCATTGTGAGCATTTCTCTTAGAACTGCCTTAGCATTATTGCATGTCCGTTTTCACTTCTGCATTATTTACTTTTCTTTGCTGTAATAAAGAATCAGGTCCAGAGGCAACCTACTGAAGGTAGAGTTTATTTTGGATTATAGTTCTAGAGGGAGAGCCCACAATGACTATGAGGAATGGCAGCAGCTAAGTGGAACAGGAAGCTGAGAAATCTCATCTTTAACTAACACTAGAAGCAGAGGGTGAACTGGAAGAGGGGAGATAATATTAACTCTCAGCATTTTCTCATTGATGCATGTCCTTGTGTTTTAAGGCTGTACCACCTCCCCTAAAACTCCTTAAAGGATACCAAGTATGCAAATGCCCTAGTCTAGGGGGGACCTTTATTATTCAAGCCACTACAGTTCAATTCAAGGAACTTTTAATTTCTTCTCTGGTTTTTCTAATGACTCACTCATCATTCCAAAGTGTACAGTTCAATCTCCATATATTTCTGTACTCTTTATATATTTTTATATTGATTTTTAGTTTTGTTTCACTATGATCTGATAAGATACAGGAACTTATTTTGATTCTTTTGGATTTGGTAAGACTTAATTTGTGCCCTAGAATATGGGCTATTTCAGAGAAGGTTCAATGACCCACTGAGAAGAATGTGTGTTTATTGTTTCTAGGGTGAACTATTCTCTATTCATTTGTTAAGTCTGTTTGAGTTTTTATATAATGTAACCTATATTTAACTTTAACTGTGCTATTTTTTTAGTTTGTATGACCTATATAGAGAGATAGAAATCTCACTACTGCTGTAACAATGTCCATTTGACATTTTTTGCCCATTATAGAAGCCTCAATGTTTCATGTATGTATACCTACAATTATTTTATCTTCATTATGCATTTTTCCTTTTTATTGATCTGTTGTGGTCCTCTTTGTTTCTTCTAGATAACTTTGATGCAAAGTTATCTAGTACCAGAATAGATATGCCAACCTATTTTCAGTTTCTGTTTGCTGGGTAGAGTACCTTCTGTCTTTTGACTCTCAGTCTGTGGGTGTCTTACAAGTGAAGTTTGTGTTTTGTTTTGTTTTCTGGAGAAAACAGAAGTTGGGTCTAGTTTTTTTGTTGTTGTTGTTGTGCTTATCACTTAGATAGCCCATGTCCCTTTACTGGTTAAATTGAATTCATTTACAATTAAGGTTATTATAGACAGATGTTTACTAATTCCCATAATTTTGTTGGTTATTTTTCTGGTTGGTGAGATAATTGTTTTGTACTTTCCCTCCTATTAGTATCGGGCAGTTATTAGTTCATTGAGTTGCATATGATGGATTCCTTTGTTTAGCCATCCCTCTTCTGAAATTTATTCTTCCCTGTGTTGTCATTATTAAGGTTGTCTTTCTTCCTTTTCTTTGTATAATAATCCTTCAGATATCTTCGGGAGTAATGGGCTGGTGGTCATGATTTTCCTTGGTTTGTGCTTGCTTTGAAATATATTTATCTCTCATCTTGAAAAAGGCTTTGTTAGATATAACATTTTTACCAACTTCCATTTCTGTTTATTAAATTTTAGATCTACTAAGAAGAGGTGCCTTGCATATTTATTGGTCTAGTAGACAAAATAAAAATTGCAAACCACAGGATCAAGCATTCTTAGGTTTGAAGTCAGGATTCCAGAGTTGGTTGCCTTTCCTATTTAACATCTCTGAACTTCAGTTTTATCCTTTGTATGGTAGTGATAATAATGATAACTGTATGTGTGGGTGTTGGCATCTCATTTGTGCCTCACCTTCCTCCTTTACCTTTTCTTTTCTTTTCTTTTTTTGTCTGTTGACCTTTATTTTTTCTGTATAAGCCTGAGTGTCATAGCAGTTCTGTTTTACATTTTGAGGAGCACTCAAACTGATTCTGATAGTGGCTAAATTGAACTACATTGCTACCACCAACATAGAGGTGTTCCCAGTCTTCCATCTTCTGGCTATATGTATCGCTGTCTACTTCCTTAACTGCAACACTCAGTAAAGTGGGCCTTGAACCTCACCTGGGAAACAGTAGAATTGACCGTGCTGGGGGTGTGGGTGAGCCAGCAAGATTGTGAGCATGGGAAAGCTGTTCCCATTCCTCACCTCTCTTGTGACCGCATGGGTGGGGGGAGATGCACTATCCCCCTGCTCATCAACACCCAAGGCACATAACAAAACTGTCCCTGAGGTCATAAGAGGAAGAGAGCTGTCCCTGCATCTCACCAGCTGCATCCCTCAGGAGAGAGGCCCCCACACCTCTTCTGGATAACACATAAGAGCTGGCCTTGAAGGTGTTAGGTATAGAGAACTGACCCTGAAGATGCAAAAGTCGAAGAACTTGTTCATCAAGGGGCAATGCTGGAGAGCTCCCCCCCTCCCCCCGGTGGTGAAGACTGGGCAGAGCTGGCAGACTGACCAACCCTGTAACTACCCAGGTCTAGAACCAGGGTTATGTGTTGGCCTAAATTCCATTCCATCTGTGATCTGCTTGCATATGGAGGTGGGAGTGGGGTTGGTCCTGTGAACCCAGGGCTGCAGAATCTCCTTGACAGAGGGCAGCAACAGGATGTCCAGGGAGAGTTCCAGTGAGAACCTGGTGTTGATGGTGTAGCAAAGCCTTGAACCAGACCAGTGATTTTTTGCAATAAATGCCTGCATGTAAAGATGTATGGATAAGGGGTTTACTGTATGACTCACTGTGTCACACTGCAGCTCCCCCCCTTTATTCCTCTTAAATTTTATTTTGTTTTATTCTCATGGGGAGAGAGATGGGTGAGATCAGTAGGTATAATGTGAAAAACACAAAGGACAAATAAAAAGACTTTTTTTTTTTTTTTTTTTTTTTGGTTTGGTTTTTCTCTTTATTGAAGGAAGCAGACAACAAATGCCCTCCTTTACCTTTTACCTGGGTAGCCAGCAGCAGCTATGCTTAATTTCACATGGGATAATTTAGTTTTCCCTTTTCAGAAAAACCAAGAGAAGGAACTCAGTGAATACATGGCCTTTGTTTAAGAGGGCTTAATGTGTGTTTCCCCTAAAAGCCACTTAATAGAGAAGTACAACAAGCCCCATGAATAGAAGCAAACCTGACCAAAGTCAGATCCCTGCTCTCAGGCATATGCATCACCTAGCAACACCAGCTTCTCCCAGGCATGTCCATGACGAATAACACCATGTTATATGTCACTGAGGCTTTGTGCTGTGACAATCGAAAATTGATACAAACAGAAATAGGTTAGAGAGGGATGAAGCAAATTCTGATTTGGGGACATGATGAATTTGAGGTGGGACATGATTAATTTGAAGTGTACCATTGCAGTTGAGTATAAAACTCAATAACCACATATAGTCTGTGAAACTTCATCAGAAAATAGAAAAGATGGAATGATTTATGTAATTGCCCAATATCTATATATAGGATGACAAGAAAAACCTGATGACTGAACACTGAGGAAGTCATATATTTGAAGGAGCTATTGAGATTGAGAAGTTATAAGAAATGACTAAGGAGAGCCAATGAAAACTGGTTATAAGAAAACTAGGTCTTAACAAGGATGCATGAGTAAGCAAAAACTAATGCCCTGGGAAAGCAAAATAGATACCTTTATATTCATTTTGCAAGTAAAGTGAGATTTGGATGGGGTAATTAAGCTTCTGTGTGATCATAGAGTTTGGTAAAAAGCAGGAAAGGCACTGGAATGTAGTCTTTAGGTAATTTAACTCTGGGCTTATAAAGTTTATCAAACAGTCTCATTTGAATGAATATTTCTGGTACCTATAAATGCATTTTTAAAATGACCAACTATCTCTTTTATGCATATGATGGTAAATTGCATAACTTTAATACTTGAGAATTAGATGAGCAAGTAAGAAATATACAACTCTGGGACTCTTACATGATTCCAAAATTAGTGTGTATTATGCTATTGCATGTCTTCTATTATGAATCATTTTTCTATATCTTATAAATGTATTTTTATGTCGTGACTTCTTATGTGCATTATGAATTAAAATAATGACTTTCCTCTGTGCTGAATACAATGAATTAATCATTAATGATATTTATGAAATACATTACAGATTGAGCTTCATGATCTTGAAAAACAAATTGCAGCTACTGCTGCAGAAGCTAAAGAAACAGAGAGGCAAATGCACCAGCAAGATGTTGCCATGGAAAATTCCAAACTTCAGTGTGGACTTTTGAAAGCTCAAATTGAGTCTTTACATTCAGAAAGTGTAAAGCTTAAATTTGACACAGAAACAACCCAAGAAAAATTTGAGGAACAAATGATAAAATATAATGCATATTATGCAAAAATAAAAGCCTATAAAGATAGTTTAAGAGAGACAGAAAGCAAATGCTCATTTATGACTGAACTGTATGAAAAAAGAGATCTCATAAAAAACCTAAAGGTGATGAAAGAAGATCTGAAGGAAAGTCTCCAAAATCCACAGGGGAAATATGCAACACAAATACAGGTTTGAAGTGTTACTTATTAAACCCTCTTCTGCTTTTTGTAAGTGTATATAGTAAACAATAGTTAAATTAATGTAATACCTACATACAGAAAGTGTTTTCACAATTTTTAAAACTTAAGCAGATAAATAAGTTAAATAACAATTTCCCATATGTGCAGATGCTTAAGGGAGATGCAGATATATGTACATGTGTTCAAAATGACAGTAACCAATTAATCCATTTACTGCAGAAAGTGTAATTCATGAAAAATGTTCAGCCTCTGGCTTCTATTCTGATGAATCTAGCCCAAATCAATTCATGTGATTAATGTTATTATGCAAACAAGCTGAATTTGTGATTGCACATTGGGCATCTTTATATTCTTCTTACTAATCTTTGAAAACCATAGAGGATACTGACTTAAAATATCTACCACTCCTTGCTAGAGAATTAAAAAGTATTCTTTGCACTCTTGTCAGGAAATCATCTACACAACTACTGCTTTCCTTTGTGTCTTATTTGTTTTCAAATCCAAGTTTGTTTTGTGTAAATAATGGCTTTTAATTTTGTATGTCTATAGAAAATGTTTTAATACTGTTTTACAAATTTAACTTTTGACTAGGCTAGTTTTCATAAATTACAGTAGCACAGAAAGTCTTGGACTTATTTTCAACCATTGGGTTTTTGACTTGTATATTTTAATTTTACAAATATCCAGGAAGAAATTTCAGAGCTAATGGGTAAAATTTTGACAGTAAAAGATTCAATCATTGAGAAGACCTATTTTATTGAAGAAGAGAAAAAGAAACATGAAAAACTAAGAAAAGAAATAGAGGTGAGTCTTAATTATCTATACTTAAATATTTCATGAGATTATGTCTTAAGTTTAAGCTATATTTCTATTTATATATTTTTCTTTTAATTTTCAAAACAGCTACGGAACAAGAAAAAAACTTGACTATATATAAGCCATTAAAATAGTTCATTCAAATATGTGAAGGTATTTGAACAAAGCCAGTGTCACATCAAATAAAGTCTATACAGGGTATGACACATGCCTAAAGCCCTAGCACTTGGAAGGACAGAGTTTGAAGCTAGCCTGGTCTTCAAAGTAATACCATGCCAAAAAAAGATAACTGCCTTAGAATTCTCTGGAATTCTTCAAGATCTCAGTCTACCAACCATATGGCAATTAATGACTGGAAAGCAAAGGCTTAGATGGTCAAACAGGGTGACCATTCTAAACATTGGAATCTTGAAAATAGAGCAAAGGGCAGCAGAAAACATTACTGTTCTAAACTTCTTGATTTCATATTTGAACTCTCAAGAATCAAGTTCTTGCCCATCATCCCAGAATTTAGGATAGATGGATTGCCACAAATTCGAGTTTGGTCCCGGCTATTGAGTATGACTCTGTTTCCAAACCAAAGCAAATGAAGGAAAATGAAAGGGAAACTAATTTCTCAACATGTTGGTGCCACCCTAAATATTTGTGGTTATTGTTTGTATGAATGGAGAACAAGTATGGAAAAGAATGCTGTTAATGGCAAGTAAAAAAATAATTTTCACATTTACCAACAATTTAACATGATATGAAACCATCTACATAATTTTAAGATGAAAGCCTTTACCTTTACCTATTTTCAGTAAAAAACAAAACAAAACAAAAACCATGTGATTTAATCTTATAGTTCAGTAGGAATTCAAATTAGATTAAGTATTTCATTTATATTTTTGTTCCTTTATACATCAATCTATTAAGATTTTATAAGTAGTAAGGTATATATAACTGGTGTGAAAATAGAAAAATTATTAATGAAACAGAAAAGATCTAAAAGTAATTTCCATGTATGAATGGCATAAACAAAATAAACCAATGAGATAGTTCAGCAGGTGAGGATGCTTGCTGCCAAGACTAACAGCCCAAATACCATCCCATGAAGGAAGAACAGATCCTGCTGGTACAGGTTATCTTCTGACCTGCATGCTTGTGTCATTGTGGCTTGCACTCAACCCCACACACATGCATCACAGCACACAAAATCCACTTATACCCCACCATACACAATTAAATGTGACAACATTGGTTAAACTATATAGAGATGCTAAGTTGAATTCTTGTCTATACTACTTATGGTTATACTCTCTTAAAATCATTAAAGAATGCAAGAGAAATTTTAACTGTGTGTTAAAGAAACATTTCTAAAGACAAAAATACCCACATAAACTCTATGCTTAAATATTTTTGATTTCCTACAATAGAGAAGACACACTTAGCTCTTAGAAAGATTTGTAAGACATGTAAAAGAGGAGAAAAAGTCAAGGACATGTCAATAAAACAGAAACCAATGAGAATGTGACATGGAAATAATTATTTAAGCCTCTGTATCTAAACAACAATAAATCAGCAAACAAAAAATAAAAATCACTTTTAGTAGTTTTTCTGTATATTCCTTTTAAACAACATTACATTTTTATTTGTAAATTATCTCACAAGTTAGGTTTCCAGTGTGATTTGCCTATGCATTTCATTTGGGATGGTTACTCTTTCTCCTTCCTCCCTCCTGTCCCGCCCTCTTCCCCACTGTACTCTCACCCCCAGGGTTCCCTTTCACTTTGTTCTGTTGTCTTCCCATGCCCTCCATTAAAGGCTCTTTTCTCCAGTCTCGTGGGCCTCTTTCTAAATTTCCTGGCCTTTACTTATATTTGCCCCTACCTTGATACAAATAATTAGCAGCTAGAGGTGAAGATTTTCATATGAGAGATAAGTACTTGTCGTTTGGAGCCTGGATTATATGACTTACTATAATGTTTTCCAGTTCTACACACTTCCCCATAAATATCATAATTTCACTTTTATTTTAGCTTAATGAAATTCTGCCATGTGTATATACTATATTTACACTACCAATTCATGTTTTTACACATGTATTTCTTTGTTATTATTTAAAAAAAGAGTAGCAATAAACATGACTGCAGGAATCTCTGTAAAAGATGAACCCTTGGGCATATGCCTAGGAGTGGTATATCTCAGCCATATGGAAGTTCTATTTTTAGTACTTTGAGAAGCATCCACACTGGTCTCCATAGTGGCTGTACTAAGTTGTTTTCCTACCAGCAATGAACAAGGGTTACTCCTCTTCCCACATCCTCTCTAGCATTTCTTTCCTTCTTTCTTTTTCTTATTTTTCTGTTCTTGATACCACTTGACTGGGGTGATGTGAAGTCTCAGAATAGTTTAATTTGCATTTCCATAATGACTGAAGGTATTACATATCTTAATAATACCCATTGCCATTTGTCTTTCTTCTTTTAAAAACTGTTTATTATCTCACTTGTTTTTATTTCTGGAGTTTAATTTTTACAATTGTTTATAATTTGTGGACGTCAGTTCTCCGTTAGTAGGATAGTGTGGCAGATATTTTCACCCATTCTTAAGCTGTCTGTTCTGTTTGCTGTGTAAAGCCATTAAAATGTCATGACATCCCATTTGTTAATCATTGGGGATATTTCTTCTGAAATTAGAATCCTAATAAGAAAGTTCTTATCTGTATGGACATCTTGAAGTGAAGTGTATTTTCTGTGTTTTCCTTTAGAAGCATTCCCTGTTTTAAGTTAAGGTCCTTGATTCAGTTTTAATTTATATTTATGTAGGGAAAGATATGCCCTAATTATACTATTATTTAATTCTAATCTTTAATGTTTTCAAACATTTATTAATGATATACTTTAGAGTCTAATTTCTTATCCTCTATATTTGTTATTCAAAAAATAGAAACAGCTCTTAAATTTCAATCTTTATCGAAGAAATAATGCTTTCAATATTCTTAGGTCATATATGAAATGGGGAAAAGGGACATTATTAAACATTACTAAATATGTATCCCTAAATTTCTTTCTTTTTCTCCCTATTTTCTGTCTTGATATATTTTGGAAGATGAAAGCAAGAATAAACTATGACTCACAAAAAAAAAAAAAAAAAAAAGGAGAGCATGCACACAAATGCACACAAAGCTTCAACTATAAAGCACTTAGCAACAGATAATTTTTTTAGTTCAAAGCATAAGTGTTATTTGCCAAATTCAAGAAAAAACTGGAGAAGTTTAAGATGATTTAGCAATTGATGACTGTTGCAAGCAGTATTTTACGGTAACTGACGTTCTATAAAGCATTGATGGCTTACTCTTGCCTAAATTTTGTATAGTCCAGCCTTAACAATTATAGGACAGGGAAAATTAGTGCACTTATAGAGCCACTACAAACAAAGAGTATTTGACACAGCATTCGTCTATGCAACTGACAAATGCATACATTTATTGATGTTAAGAACAGAAACGATTACAGAGCCAGAAGCCAATCAGTCATATATGAAAACTCAGGGAAGCAAAGGGGGAAAAGTGAACTAAAAGTGATATAATAATTATTCAAGTAGGACTGGAGAGTTAGCTCAGTGATTAAGACCACTCACTACTTTTATGAAAGACCTGAGTTTGATTGCCCAAATCACATGAGTTCTCATCTGCCTGATGTTTTCCACTTTGGGGAATCTGATGCTTCTGTCCTCTGTAGGCACCTGAACTCATGGTCTCTCATGTGCACATACACAGAAACACACACACACACACACACACACACACACACACACACACACACACACTTAAAGACAACAAAATGAATCTTTAAAAACCTATTCAAGTAAATAGCATGATAACATGGTAAGAATTTATTAATCTAGAGGAAGTGCAAGAACAAATATTGACTATTAATTGATTTATTATTTTTGGTTCCTGGTATTTTCTGTAACCAGTGTTTCTTTCCTGCCCACCAGTTCCTGAATAACCACACAGAGGCTTAATGTTTACTACAATCTGTTTGGCTTATTAGCTGTGGCTTATTATTAACTAGCACTTACAACTAAATTATCCCATTTCTATTAGTCTATATTTCACCATGAGTCTTATGGCTTGTTACCTCACATCTTGTTTCCCCAACCGCTGCTGGTGGCTGCCCAACTTTGCTCTTCTCCTTGTGTCTCTGCTTGGATTTTCCTACTGGCTCTATTCTTCCCGGCTATTGGACAAATCAGCTTCTTTATTAACCAATGGTAATAGAACATATTCAAACCACACAGAAAGACATCCCACATCTTTCCAAAAACTTTATATAAAACATATAATTTAACTTTTCATAATAACATATCATACTTTTATAAGTTTAATAATTTGTATAAGGTTTTACATCTAATGAAACAGAATAAAATATGATTCCAGATATGTTGAAATCTTTCTCCCAGTCATATTTAAAATTGAATATACTCTCCTTAATGAAAATGTAAAATATTAGAGAGAACACTGTATCATTCCTTTGAAACTACCTCCTATAACATTATGCTTTCCTATTGTTTTCACCTATTTATTACTCATGGTTTATACACAAACGCACTTATAACAAGATATGGGTACATTATGTGTGTACTGCACATATAATTTTGCAGCCAATTTGCTTATTCATATGTCCTAATATTTTTTCATTTTAATATATGTTAGTCCATATTATTCTTTTTAACTGCTATAAAATATCCAGCAATATTTCTATACCTTAGTTTCTATCACACTTAGTTTCTATCACTGGATAAATGAACATTTATCCAGTTCCATTATTAAAAGTACTGTTGGAGTGAGCACTGTATTACACATATCTTTTTGTACCAGGAATTAGGACTAGAGAGTTATAAGACCTGGGCTGTTACATTCTCTTAATAATTAAGTAATATTAATTCTTTTAGTAATATACTTTCTCTTAATAATTATGATAAAATAGTTTACATTTGAAATA